AAAAAAAAAAAAAAAAAAAAAAAGAGAAAGTAAATATTCCAAAATATTAAACAATCTGAAATCCAAAACACTTCTGGTTTCAAGGATTTCAGATGGGATATTCATCCTGTAGTTTTAGTTGAAGGCCCTCAGATTACATTATTTTTATCTCAAGATTGGCTAGAAACAAGAGTGACTTGTTTCTTGCCTAAAATATTGTCATGTGTAGTGTCTCAGAAACTCTTGAAGTTCCATTAACAAAGGGGAACTACCTGATACCACCCTCTCCACCCACTTTGTACACTCATATCTCTCACTGCTAGGTCAGGATCAGATTATTTCCTGATTACAAAGTCACAAAATAAATACTAGGATACGGATGAGAAGACTAAGAAAATATACAATGAAATCCTGCTGGGCAGTCCCCATCCATCAGCACATTTATATGCTTTCCTTGTTACATGAGCATCTTGGCAGTGGTCCCCTGTATTAGTTCCCTTTCCTATGACTGTTGTAACAAAGTACCACAAACTAGGTGCCTTATAAACAGGAATTTATTCTCCTACAGATCTTGAGGCTAGAAGTCCAAAATCAAAATGTTGGCAGGGCCATCCTCCCTCCGAAATATCTAGAAAGAGCCCTTCCTTGTCTTTTCCTGGCTTCTGGTGTTTGCCAACAATCCTTGACATCACTTGGCTTAAAGGTATATCACTCTAGTCTCTGTCTCCGTCTCTATGTAACCCTCTTCTCTGTGTGTCTGTGTCTCTGTGTCCAAATTTTATTCTTCTCATAAGGACACCAATCATCAGATTAGGGAGCATCCTAATCTAGTGTGGCCTCTTTTTAACTTGATTACATTTGCAAAGACTCTATTTCCAAATAAGGTCGTATTCTGAGGTTCTGGATGGATGGGAACTTTTGGGAGACATTGTTCCCCAGTATATTCCCGTATTTTCACATGGGAACCAAGGAGAACAGAGAGGGGGTAGATTGGGTGGTATTAGTTAGTTCCCCTTGGAATTTGTCCTTTTCTCCAAATTCCAAGGACACAGACTTGATTAAAATTCTCTTTAATGTTCATAGCAGCAAGAACATCATTGCTTTTCAAAATAATATTATTTTTCTAGGAGCCAAGAGACTATGTCTGTTTCTTTTTATTCCCAATATCTTTCTAGCTAAACTTCATTCTTTTAAAAATACAGATAAGTCTATGGATGATTTCCATCCCTTTCTTCTGTTTTCAGTATTTGTGTCATACTTTGTCCATTTGCCACCGACAGATTGCTATTCACCAGTAAAGAACACGTGGGAAATTCGGCAGGATGGAAGACCCATCATGGTCAATGTCATATGTCATTTTTGGCCGGTTATTGTCCCAGTAAAATTTTTAGAAATAGTCATTTTCCCTTACCCCATCAATGAGAAATGAAGTTACCGAAGTTAAAATATTGTTGGGGACATCCTGAGGAAGTGCAGGGCTGACTTCTTTTCCTAACATTGGCTTGCATAAATCGTGATTGTTCCTAGGCTTCTTTTACTGGGCTATACCCATCCCTGAGACTTCTACCAGTTCTCTTGTGGGCACTCTTTCCCCATCCCATGTTCTCAGTGTTGTGCAAGATATGTAGCAGTGTATACAGAGGTTAGGATTGGTAGAAATTAATGGTACATGAAAGCTGCGTTTAATTTACAGCTACAATTACATGGCATGGATTTTAATGCCTCTGCATGCTCCCTAGATAAAACATGTTATGACTTACCCAAGTCATAGGGTTTTATGAGTTGGCTCTGGGTTTTAGAGAAATCTGACAAAAACTCACCCATCTAGGATGAATCAGAAATTTTTTGTGGTATTGTTGGTGATGGTGTTCTTGAATATTTCAGGCAGGGGGTTGTCCCATGGTACTTTGGGAGAGAGTTTTAATGAAGGACTTTTTGTACCCCAGTTTCTGTACTTTGCCTTTTCTTGCATTATTTGTTGGTTTGTTTAATGTTTTAGGTGATGAAGCCAACCCTTGCAAGTTTCAGGCCTGCAATGAGTTTTCTGAGTGTCTGGTCAACCCCTGGAGTGGAGAAGCAAAGTGTAGGTGCTACCCTGGGTACCTGAGTGTGGAAGAACGGCCCTGTCAGAGCATCTGTGACCTACAGCCTGACTTCTGTTTGAATGATGGAAAGTGTGACATTATGCCTGGCCATGGGGCCATTTGTAGGTATGTTGTAATGTGATTTTGACTTTAAAAGCTACAGATACTTCCTTGAAGAAAAAGGGTCTACAGCTATACTTTTAGGATAATGATTACAATATTTTTATGGAAAGTATATCTAGGCAATAGATGGATGCCTAATTCTCATGTGAAGATTGACTCATTTAATAAGCCTGAATTTCAACTGGTAGTTTTATTCTGTTAGGGAGCTGTAAAAAATATTGTCTAAATAAGTCCTACTGAGAATACGTGGACTGATTGGAGATCTTTGTATTATAGGTTTTAGTGATGGTGATAAGGAAGCTAGTGTCCAAATAAGGTGTAAACATAAGAGTAACACCTTCTCCAATATCTGAACATGTGGACATGAAGGAGTTTTATTGTTCTACTTGAATTATACTCTTAATGGCTTTGAGTTCCTCTAGTCCTAGTGAATATTCATTCAAAAATAAAGAAAGGTAAATATTTGAAGTTTTCAAAATGATGGCAAAAAATGTCTTTCTTTAATTACATCTGAGATCCATTTTCTAAAGGTAGAACCAACGAGAATGCTGCAGCCGAACAGGCTCAGTGAGCCTGACAGTCCTCAACCTTTCAGCCATACACAACCAAAGATTCATGGTTGTAAGAGGAGAGAATGCTGAGAATAAGCAGGAGAAACATAGACTAGAGAATAATTTATAAAGTCAGCATGGGCAAATTTTAGCATATGCACAGATGCCAAAAACAGGAAATAAGTGGAAACGATCCAGAGTTTTCTATATGAAAAAATATAAAGTTTACCTGGAAAACTAAGGGGGGAGGGCAGAGAAACAGCTTCTTGGTGTCCAGAGAAATTAATATTATTTTGAAAATCAGTGATTTCCTTGCCATTCTAGGGATTGAAGTTCTGTGGGCTTGGGGTTGAAGGGTCTCTTTAGGGTGGTAAAAGGGGATTGGGTATCTGGAAGTCTGGGTTCTAGACACATCTCTATAGCTGACTAATTATATGACCTAATGTCAGTCTCTTTTCTTCCAAGATCATTTTTTAAACTCACAAATAAGGAGGTTAAGTAGAACAATTTCTTCAAGTCTATTCAATTTTTTTTTTTTTTTGAGTTGGAGTTTCACTCTGTCACTTAGGCTGGACCTGCTCAAATAATCCTTCCACCTCAGCCTTCCAAGTAGCTGGAACTACAGGCACGTGCCTCCATGCCCAGCTAGGTCTATTCAGTCTTTTATTCTGTCATTTACAAATGGTCAATGAAGACTGGCTAGGTCAATGCCAGATATTATGCACAGCCTTAAATTCTATGATCATTCAGTCTGATTATTCAACTCTTCAATAAAGCTTCATGTGGTCAGCATTAATTTCTCTACCTTTCCCTGGTCTCTTGGCAGTTTCTGCTGTGAATCATTACTTTGAGCAGAGTGATTGAGACTTTGGCCTTGGTGATTGTTGGTTACAGGTGCCGGGTAGGTGAGAACTGGTGGTACCGAGGTGAGCACTGTGAGGAGTTTGTGTCCGAACCCTTGGTCATAGGCATCACCATTGCCTCCGTGGTTGGACTTCTTCTCATCTCTTCTGGGGTCATCTTCTTCCTCATCCGGACTTTTCAGGCACAGAATGTCAGGAGAGAAAGAGAGAGGCCTTTCAGGTAAATATGGAAAAGAGCTCTCTGAAGGAAGAAAGTGTTCTGTGCACTCATTCAGTTAGCACTTACCATGTGCCAAATGTTGGACAAGGAACTGGGTGGAGGAAAGAGAAAGATGAAGTTGAAAAAAGCATGATCCCTCTCCTCAAAGGGGTGTCTGATTGAAAAGATACATAAGGAGTGCTATGAGCAAGATGCTAAGAAGCCTAGATGATGTATAAATTTGTTTTCCATGGGCGACAAAGTCTTAAAAGTCTTAATGATGATTGTGATATTTGGCTCGACAGAAGAGTAGGCATTTGCCACTCTTGGGGTAGGATGCTTTCTAGCTAGTTGAATGAACATGAGCAAAGTCAGGAAAGCGGGCATGAACCTCAAGGCACAGGGAAGGAAAGGCATGACTGAGTGTGGCCAGATTGCCTGTGTCATGGTGGGGGGAGGGTTGGGAAGGGAGTGTTGGAGACAAGATGGAAAAGTTCAATTTCCCTTCGTGGAGAACCAGATCTATTACAGCTTCATTCCCTTTGGCTCATACCAGTGGTAATTAGCCAAATATTCTGACAAGAAATGAAATCTGGTTTTCTATATAGTTAAATATGGCTTCACTGATAGGGCAATAAAACCTGGTCTACTTGCTAGACTAGGAATCCAAGGATCAAAATCCTGGCTTGTACTTCTATGCTTCTAGAGTCTATAAGACCTGTTACTTCAGGTTTAGGTTACCTTCCCCCACCCTCAGACTTGCCTAAGGAGGCATCCTTCCAGCACCCATGATATACCTCCATCATTATTCTTATGCTTTTAGTGGAGTTTGACTTCTTATTAGACTGTAGTCTCATTCAGGGCAGAGAGTACAACAAATTATTTGTATCATCAGCATGTAGAACAGTCTTAGGCATATAATAAATGCTCAGTAAATATGTGTAGACCTGAATAGATTTTAATTGAGACCCAGCCCCCCCATTATTACTTATTTTCCAGTTTTTGACATATATAACTCAGGGGATGATGAAGCTGTATTGGTTGATAAAATACTATCTACTGGCAGACATAGTTCCCAACCAACATTTATTGAGTGCTGGGTACTGTGGTCAAGTAAGATGAATGAACATGAAACAGCTCTCCTTGCCATGGACTTGAGGCGATCATAATGACAAATTATTTTTGAGATTGACCTGGATATTTTTCCAGGTCTGTTTTTCAGTCACCTCCCCCCATCAGTGTCCAGCTCACTTACATTTCATCCCCAACAGAAATCTTGTCCCAGCTGAGTAGCCTTCCAAGCAGTTGAACGTTCCAAGAAGATCCTGAATCAATCACATCTTTCTTTCTGTGGCTCCTGCAGGCAGCCTGACAACCTTTCATCCATTGAGAATGCTGTGAAGTACAACCCTGTGTATGAAAGCCGCATGGCCGGGTGTGAGCAGTATGAGGGGCCCTACCCGCAGCGTCCCTTCTACAGCTCTGCGAGTGGAGAGATGATTGGTGGCCTGAGCAGAGAAGAAATCCGACAGATGTATGAGAGCAGTGAGCTTTCCAAAGAGGTAGAATTTTTTATTTTTTTTAAATTGTGGGGTACAATTCAGGGTTAGGTCTACAGATATTCATTGTGCAGGTACTCTTGTTGATGAGGTGTGCCCTCCCTTCCCCAGGCAGATTTCGACTACTGTAAATCCCACCCCCTCCACTGCAGTTTCCTGCTACTGTCAAACCATTTCTTATAGTATTACAGTAGTTGTTCAAGGTCCACTTATGAGTGAGAACACGTGACACTCAGATCTGTGTGTGTGTGTGTGTGTGTGTGTGTGTGTGTGTGTGTGCGCGCGCGCGCATGTATGCATGTATGTATGAGAACGTGTGTGTATGTATATGCATGATATACACAGGTTTCAAGAAAGGATGACAAATATTTCACAAATTGATTTTTGACCTTATATCTTCCAGTCGGTGTGATATACAGGGGACAATCTATTTTTAAAATAGTAATTAAATTCAATTTTTCTTTCTTTTTTTCTCTTTCTTGCTCTGGTGGAAACTAATAGAACAAGGGTATTCAGTTCTGAACTGTGCCTTATTTTCCACCCAGTGACTCTTTTTTCCATCGGTATCAAATGCTCTCTCCTTCCCCCCTTCTTTCCTTAGAAATATGTTTGAGTTAGAGCAGTATGTGTAATATCCAGAGCAGTACCTGTAATATCCAGAGCAGTGTAAGATCCAGAGTAGTACCTGTGATATCCAGGACCTTCCATTTTTCTGAAAGGGTCACCCTGAAAGTCACAATTCCTTATAAAAAATGAGAACTCAGCCGGGCTTGGTGGCTCAGCCTGTAATCCCGCGCCTTTGGGAGGCTAAGGTGAGTGGATTGCCTGAGCCCACGGGTTCGAGACCCGCCTGGGCAGCGAGACCTCATCTCTACAAAAAAATAAAAAAAAAATTAGCCGGGCGTGGTAGCGCGTGCCTGTAGTTCCAGCTACTTGGAGGGCTGAGGCGGAAGGATCGCTGGAGCCCAGCAGGTCGAGGCTGCGGTGGCCGGGAGCAGCCACTGCACTCCAGCCTGGGCGACAGAGTGAGACTCCAACTCAAAAAAAAAAAAAAAAATGAGAACTCTTTTGAAAAGGCTGTTGAGGTTTTTCTCATGCAATGTGTGGCTCCCTTTTTTTGTTTAAGGAAATTCAAGAGAGAATGAGAGTTTTGGAAATGTATGCCAATGATCCTGAGTTTGCAGCTTTTGTCAGAGAGCATCAAATGTAAGTGTTTGAAACAGCCCATGCCCTTCTGTCTACCCCACTGTCATAACAGTTTCCTTTAAAGTAGTGGCACCAGGGTGAGAGGTAATTCCTGTTCATCTGACAGGGGTTTTGGTGATAACCAAATTTGTTGAGTTCTTTAAAGTTTATGTATGTCCACACAGTTTATCTCATTTATTCCATATAATGGAATAATATAATGAGGTGTTACAACTTGTATGTTTCTTATTTGAAGAAAGGAAGGCTTGGAGAGATGAAGGAACTTACTTGAGATGACAATGACAGCAAGTGGCAGAGAAGATTTCAATCTAAGACACTATCTGTTTGGGACTAAAGATCCCTGGGCTGTGTCGAATTTTCTCTCATGTTATCATAGCTCACCCATCATCCAATGCCATAAAATATTTTCTTTTTTTTTTTTTTTTGAAAGCAGGATTTATTGAGAGAACAGAAAAGCTCCCACAGTGAGAGGGGACCTGAAGGGGGTTGCCCACCATAAAATATTTTCATAGATGAATTCCATGAAAAGGATCTGAGTAGCCAAAATTTCTCATGTTTTAACACTTTCTTCTATTCTATCTCTACAGATACTTTTCAGTATGCTTTGAATCACATATCTCACTAAAGTGTATCTCTTGCCTCTGTCAAGTTTATCTTAATTTCACTCTCCTTCCATTTGCCTTTCTCAGCATGCATTTTGGGCAAGTGTCTGTGATTGTTTTTCTTTGTTTTCCAGGATCCATAACCAGATTTAGGTTACAAAATAAACTATCTTGTAAAGCAACCACTGTGGACATTGTTTGAGGGTAGGGGGAATTACAACTTGATACTGATATTTGGTGCTACTACTGCCTTCATGGAGGCTCATGAAGGGGCTAGCCAGGTGTCTTCACCTGCCTTTTAGAAAAGAAAAACCAGAGCAATGCATGCATGTAAAAGAAATTGATAAAGGGTCAGATAACACTCATGGCCTAGAGTGTAGCCTCTGCCCCTTTTCTCCAAATCCCTTTTTTTCTGACAAGCAGCTTCTTCACTCACTAAGATAAGGGACAAATTGACACCTAAGGAAACTGAGGAAGATGTTTATCTAATCCCATGTGTATGGTAGAGCCACCTCTAAAATTCTCTGAACATCTGACTTGATTCCCAGGAGGTACTGCCAATCTTGAATGCTATCAGAGCAATATTACCAGAAGTCTACCTTTTAAACCAGAGAATCCATTCATCCCTGAGTCTTCAGCCAGCAGATGGCACATGGTGCCATTTCAGTTGCATGTTCTTCAGTAGGAAGAACTTGAATTATGTTTTTGTCATTTCTAAGACCCTTTATTAATCTTTCAGACCCACCTGCCTGAATGTGTTTTCTGAATTAAAAAATACATCTTACCTAGGCCAAGACAACCAAAGAAAGTATTCAGGAGAGTCTTTTTAGGGATAGGCAGCTAGACTACATGCTTCAGTTTTTGTTTTTCTGGTAAACTGTCTGGCATTAGGAATATACAAAAAAGTTGATGAAACAAAGAAGATTTAAAAATAGAAGCTTCTTTTAAACAAAAGAAAATATACACAGACACTATAGTCTTATTAAGGGAAACATTCATAGAGGAAGTATGACATTGAAAAACATGTTAGACGCATAATCCCTACAACATTTTCGGTTTTCACTTAGTCTCAGAGTTTTTATCTACTAGGTAGCCCAACAAAATGTTAGTGGACTTGATTTAGTATTTAGTAAAAGCATTATGTGATCTTTGTAGAGTGAATTTTTTAAATGTAGCATAGCACAGGGCAGCTTTTATTTAAAGAAAGAAAAAAATAGAATGTATTGATAATTTTAGGAATATAACTTGGTAATGTATTACAACAAAAATGAATCTCAGTACATTCTTGCTTTTTCAATGAATTGCTTTTTGTTTTTCCATGACAGGGAAGAGCTCTAACAAAAATTCCTAATCTGAAACTGATTAGAAGCCTGAAGAAGATGGAGATTACTTGTTACCTATGTCGTATAATTAACTTGGATTTTGAACGATGTTGGAAGAAGAATTTTCTTTTCTTTTTGAGTCATAATCTCACTCTGTTGCCCAGGCTGGAGTGCAGTGGCATAATCATGACTCACTGCAGCCTTGATCCCCTGAGCTCAGGTGATCTTTCCACCTCAGCCTCCTGAGTAGCTGGGACTACAGGTGCACACCACCATGCTAATTTTTTTGATTTTTTTGTAGAAATGAAATCTCACCATGTTGTCCAGGCTGGTCTCAAACTTCTGGGCTCAAGCAAGCCTCTCGCCTTGCCCTCCCAAGGTGCTGGGATTACAGGTGTGAGCCACTGCGCCCAGCCAGAAGAATTTTCTATGGAAACAAATTAAATATAGGGCACGCTTTTTTTTTCCAGCTTACATTTTCAGGATGTAGTAAGAAATGTGACCATTTTTATTTCTGCTAAGACCAAAAGCTGTGTTTAAAGAAATTCAAAACTGCATGAGCTCTGGAAAGGGTGCTACAAGCAAAAAGCTGGACCTGGGAGTTAGGGCTGCAGTTGGTGTCTGCTTCTGAATCTTTGAGGGTGTCTCCTAAGAACTGTGCCTCAGGTTTCCCAGCAGAAAAATAAGGTGAGACTATTACAAGGAAAAGTCAGGCTTAACAAGGGAGTATTTTGTAGCATATTTGTTATTGTTGGGTGGAATGGGGAAGCCTTTAACGTAGTCTTAATGCAGTTTATAGTCAGGCATTCATCTAAATAAAATGTTTGTGTGTGTGTGTGTGCTTATTTTTTTTGATCAAACTGCTAAAGAGAAAGCAATCTTTTTGCTGCAGTATAGAATTAGACTTGTATTTTATGCTTCTACCAGAGTTTTGAATTTCCTCGGCATATTAATCAAGAACACATTATTGTTATGTCAATAGCTTAATTTTTTAAGCCTTCAGGACCAACACATTTTTTAAGTTCAGAAGGGTCTCATTCGTCTAAAGATGAATTTAATCACATGGACAGGGAGGGTGTGGATGTTGAGCCAAGGTCTAGGTGCTGAAAATATACCTTACTGATGGATTAGTGGACTGAGGTTCCCTGACTGCTTAGAAGACGTAGAGATATCTTGGGCAAATCCTCTATCTCCTCTAGGTCCTGGTTTAGTAATTGGGAAAATTGCGCTTAACGACCTCCTATGATATAGATTAGCTCATTTGCATTGCTTCTCCTTTGTGTAATACTTCCTGTCTAAAGTAATTCCCGTGTACACAAAACAGGACAAGACTTTTAATATAATTAAAGTATGCTTTAAATTGTCCGGATAGGAAATCCACACTTCATAAAAATTTTGACAGAAACTGGAAATTTCTCTATTTTCTCCCTAATGTTTTTTTGAACAGGCACCTTTGGATGGGGTAAGGAGGAGGTCAAATAATCATCACTATTAATGTTAAATTGAATGTGCAGTAGGTTATTATTAATACAGGTATTTTATGTTAGATGTTGTCATGTTTGCCAAAACCAATTCTGAACATTTTGATTTATTTCTGACCAGATGTAAGTAACCAGGTATAGACTGACCATAAGATAAAATACTTGCTTCACTTTTTATTTTCTCAACTTGATGACTGCCAATTTCACTCATTATGAGGATACCGGAAACTAAATGTCTGGGCTTGGCACATACCATGGTAAAGCTAGTGAAAGCCTTGAAGATGTTCAGGTATTTTGGAAAGTATGTATGGATAACAGGTGTTGTGCATGTATGTATGTGTGTGTATATGTGCTCGTGTGTGTGTGTGTGTGTGTGTTTGTATATGCCAAGATAGCTTCCTTATCTCAATATTCCCTTTCATATTCTACTCACATAATGGAACTTCTGTCCATTCAGCACTTTCTACTGAGCCTATTTGAAAAGTGATAATGACTTTGATAATTAACTTTTTGATAATTAACTTTAAAGCATTATAAAAAGTGTGAATATTTGTCGCTACTAAAATTTACTTGCAAAACTTCCAAAATTTTCTGCTTAGGATTTTGCATTTTTTCCCTAAACTATCTGTATAGGAAACGTGTTTAGATGAAAATGTTGAGGTGAAAATGTGTCTCATCACAAATTAACCTTAGAATGCAGCCATTTGAATCTGTGCTTGCCGGAAGAATTTTAGATGGACATAAATCCACCTAGGGCCGGTCACCCCTATGTCACACTTAGGAGAAGCAGAAATGAGCCAAAGGAGGATCGTTGTTTTCTGTGAGCTAAGCAGTGATGTGGGGATTTGGGAATTCTGACACGTGTCACCCTCTCTGATTTCCTTTTGCATGACCTTTCCATGCAAGAGCAAAACACTTTGCTCTTCATCAGTGTCTGCTCCACACCAATGAAAGGAAACAGTAAAGGACCCCTCAACCATCCGGGAAAGAGCAGGAAGCCTCAGTTCTGGAGTAGAGACTTTGGTCCTGCCTTCGCTATGGCTGAACCATGGTTGAAAGATTGAAGAACACAGTTTCCATGGTAAAGATCCACACATGGACGGAGTAAAGCACTAAAGGAGCTATGAGTCTGATGGAAAAAACTATACCAGAAGAGTTTCTTTTTAAGAGACTTCCCCAAGGTTATTTAGTGACTTTTTTTTTTTTGAGTTGGAGTCTCACTCTGTTGCCCAGACTGGAGTACAGTGGCCGCTCCCGGCCACCGCAGCCTTGACCTGCTGGGCTCGGGCAATCCTTCCACCTCAGCCTTCCGAGTAGCCGGAATTACAGGTACACGCTACCACGCCCGGCTGATTTTTTGATTTATTGTAGAGATGAGGTCTTGCTGCCCAGGCGGGTCTTGAACCCATGGGCTCAGGCAATCCACTCACCTCAGCCTCCCAAAGGCGCGGGATTACAGGCTGAGCCACCGAGCCCGGCTTATTTAGTGACTTTTAAGATTTAAAAATCTTAGGGTAAACTCTCATTTACACTGCATGATTGAGGGGTGAAATGTACTGAATATTAGAACATTCTCATTAACCTAGCAATATCATATTCAATACAACTATCACCTTTTTTCTTTTTTTTGAGTTGGAGTCTCACTCTGTCACCCAGACTGGAGTGCAGTGGCTGCTCCAGGCCACTGCAGCCTCAACCTGCTGGGCTCTGGCGATCCTTCCGCCTCAGCCTTCCAAGTAGCTGGAACTACAGGCGCGTGCTACCATGCCTGGCTATTTTTTTTTTTTGATTTATTTTAGAGATGAGGTCTCGCCAAGTTGCCCAGGTGGGTCTCGAACCCGTGGGCTCAGGCAATCCACTCACCTCAGCCTCCCAAAGCGCGGGATTACAGGCTGAGCCACCGAGCCGGCTCAACTATCACCTTATTCGAAAAAATATGCAGTTAACAAAGTGCATATGTAAATCACTTAAAAAATTCATAAGGTACTATGGAGTTTTACAGATTTAACATTTATAATTGAGTTACGTTTGCTATTCTGTTTTTCATGGGTTATGAATGAAGGGGAATTTATTGTTAAATAAGACCCCATTTCTACCACTGTAGTGGTTTAGAGGTATTTGTTTGTATTTATGTGGTCTGAAGTCTCATTTACTTTACATAATAAAACAAGTGCAGATTTCACCTGGTTTTATTCCCACCTCTGTTTTTCCTTCTGCATTATCTAGTCACCATGGGTTGGCTCCTCTCCCCCACCACCTTTTGTTTGTTTGTTTGCCACATAGTACATTGCAATGTAGTTGAACAACCTCAACTTACTATTACCTCTAACAAAAAGATGGAAACTGCACA